GCAGAGTTAGCTTCGGGATTCTGCAAATCATCCTGGGCTTTCACTGAAAAGACAGGTCTGGCAATTGTCAAAGCAAAGGTAGGGAAGAAAGTTTAGCTAATTAAGTCTCAGTCCTTCTGTTAAACTCTCAACATACCTTGTAACATTTAGGGGGATCTAAGTGGGTTTATAGGTTAATCTAAGCAAAGTTATGAATTCTAAATAAAAGTCTATGGTAGGCTACATATATATTATATATATATAAAACTTATATATGTTGGGTTACAAAAAGACATTGATAGAAAACTAGACAGAACAAATATCTTATTACACTAAGTAAAATTAGTTCATAAGTATCTTGTTGAAACTGGAGAAGATAAACACTAAAAAAAATCTGTAACAAACAAAAGACTAAAAAAGAAATCCATTATTTCTAATATGAGATATGTAAATCTAATTTTTGTTTTTGTTTTGTTTCTGTTCATTTAGTCTTTATTGTTTCATATTAATAAATATATTTTTAGATATGATCTCGAAGATATCAAAATCTACTTTTTCTAGGGAATTTATTAAAAATAGAATAAACTATAGTGAAAAATAGACTCTTGCACATTGGCTCAAAACCAATTGGAGGTGATTTCTTGCTCACATGTAGAATGATCAGCTAGTGGTTTTCTCCATGGTCCTTCGGGGAAGCAGCTTCCTTCTTTTGGCTCCACCATTCTATAGGCCAATAGTTCAAGCCAATGATTTTCCAAGTAGGACCAGTAGCACAAGCATCCCCCTAGGACCTATTAGAAATGCAAATTTGTAGACCCCAATCTAGTCCTAGTCGTACTGAATTAGAAGCTCTAGGAGTGGAGTCTAACAATGACGATTTTTAATGCCCTCCATGTGATTCTGGTGCAAGGTAAGGTTTGAGAACCACAGCTCTGGGCTTGCATTTTTGTGTTGTTTGCAATCAGTGGGTGGATGGAAAAAGGAACACCTGCTTCTTAAAAGTCTTGACCCAGAAATGTCACACATTAATTACTTCCTCCACATCTTATTGTTTAGCAATCAGTAACATGGCCACAGCGTCTCTTCCACAGAAGCCTTCAATGCAAATTCACATACTATGTAGGAGAATTGTGTTTTGCGGGTGACTTGTTTCTGCTACAGTGGGATGTTCTGAAACATGATGCTTATTGGGTTGCAGAAGAGCTGCTGTGCTTTGTAGTGGCTCTGATACAATTTAATAGACACTGGCAAGATTTGGGGTTAGACAAAACTTTCCTTGTATTTTAGTGGTCTATAGTGGGAGGATATATTCTATTTGAATAATGTTGGGTAAAGCGGCAAGTGGGAAATATGACTCCACCATGAAGAATAATGAAAAGAAATGGAGCAGGAAGAGAAACTTGCATCAGCTGAATAAGGGACCTAGGCCAATTATTTTTTGGAAGGGGTGGAAGAGGATGTGGAATTGAGAACAACTTTAGAAGGCCTCAGACTCCTCTAGAGGCCTTGTTGAAAAACAGGTTGCGAGGCCCCACCCCCAGAGTTTCCGATTCAGAAAATCGGGGATGGAGCAGGAGACTATGCATTTCTAATAAGTTCTCAGGTGATGCAGATATTGCTATTCGGGGACCACACTGGGAGCCTCACTCTTAGGAATTGTACAAGGAGCCTTTCAGATGAAACCTGGATTGGGGGGAATCCTCCTTGCCCTGGGACTTTTTGACAGATGCTTCTGTGAAATGCAGACCAGAGCTTTTAAAAATTTTTCCTGGCAAAGTAAGATGTGTGCTCCCGACTTGAAAAATCAGAGAGTAGATGTTGGCTGCTCTCCAAAGGAAAAAAAAAAAATTAACAACTCTGCACCTTTAGGGAATGTTTATTAATCCTCATTATAGATAGCAGTAGTTCCTCCTGTAGTGGGAATAGGAGCTAAAGGTGTAACTTATTTCATTAATTAGACAAATAATTTTTTTTCAGTCACAAAAGTATTTTATTACCATTTCTTCCTTTCTTACCCTACCCATCAACACTTTTGAACATTTTCAAATTTACACAGACATACTACACAGGTACTCACATACACTACCAATCCCTTCCACCTTCAGAAAAAGATTTAGCTTCATGTAGGTGCTAAGACATCAATCTTCACTTTGGACCACAAAATTATCTTGCTTAGTTTTGCTTCCTTAGTAAGTGTTGTTTTTTCTGCAGTTCAGGCTGAGTTTGTAAATTCATTGAATCCAATTTCTCTTGCTGCTTTCTCATCTCTCTTTTCATTGTTGATTCTGAATTAAAATTCTGTGTTAGCTGCAGCCCAGTATTTTTTGCAAACTGCTAGAGGTATGTACTTTCCTTGTGTGTTATTGTTATTATGATATTAATTATAATATACACTATCAACTCAATGTCAGCAATGTCCCAGGATTTGTACTGAGCAAAGATTTTGACAAGGTTCCTGTCTGAGGATTATGTAAAAGCCATTCAAGTAGAATTGAATTAACATATGACTTAGTTTAGTGTAGCTAAACTTGAATATTGATTGATTCTTTGGCTGTGAAATGAGTTTGTGAGAGAGCAAAAGAAATTAACCCTAGAAATTTTAGAATCCGTTTTTCTAAAATAATCCATGATTTCATGTAAGGATTTGGTTGCCTCTGTAAAACTTGTTTATCATATTATTTCTTGGACTTGAAAAAATAGGAACCATGAATTCAAATTAGCATTAGGAGAGTGGAAATTATATCTGATGTTTTAATAATCTCTCCTTTTGGTCCAACTATGTGACTGTGCTCCAGTTACTTAGCCTTAGCTTCTTCATTCTGTCCTTGTGTTACAGGTGGATGAAATGTAGCTCTTTGTTTAATGTTGGAAAAGTTTTGAAAATTTCTCTATTTGTCTGGGGCACTTTCCCTATCTTATTTAAATTTTTTTTAAACTGAAGTTTATCATATATATGAGTAAAGTACATAAGGTGCACTAATTGTAAATGCATGGACTGATTTATTTTTTTAATATCTACACTTATGTAATCACACTCAGCTGAAGACAGAATATTCCCATACTACAGAAGTTTCATTATTTTCTAGTCAATATCTTTTTAAAGTGATCAAGATTTCTAATATCTTGAACTAGTTTTGTGTGTTCTTCAACTTAATATAAATAGTATCATGCAGTATATTCTTTGTGTCTGATTTCTTTTGCTCACCATAATGTCTGGGAGAGTATGTGATTCATGTCTGTGGTTGTAATATATTCTTTATTGCTCTGCAGTGTTCCATTTTATAAGCACACACAATTTATTTACTCATTTTCTTGTTATTGAACACTTGGGTTGTTTCTAATTTGGGTTGTTATAAGTAAAGCTGCTATCTACATTTTTGTACATTTTTTTATGGTCACGTAAACTCATTATTATTCTTGATTATGAAATAGGCATATGATTAGCTTTAATTTAAAATACCAGTATTCCAAATGATTATATTAATTTATACCTCTCAGTTGCTCCACATTCTCCTCAACATCTGTTGTATTTTAAGTACGTAAAATATTAGCTGTTCTGTGGGTATGTAGTAGTATCTCTCTGTCAACCTAGTTTTTTCATCAGTTAATGAAACTTCTAGATTAAATGAAAAGAATTCCTGAGGTTGTTGACAAAAAGGTCAGTTTGATCAGCTGTCGATATTTTATTTTTATTTTTTAGCTGTCAATATTTTAAAGTCAAAGAGGCATCTGCAAAGTTATTTTAACTAGCCAGTTCAGTAACAATTGGTGAGTTCTGATTTGCACAAGACAGTTATTACATTTATTAAATGCTTGCAAGTTAAATAATTTGCTAAATTATTTATTCATAGTGAATCACTTAACCTGTCAAGTTTCGTATCTGCATTACTAGCATTGTTTCTTAAAACACGCTCTGCACTTTGGACTGCTTTTGGCCAATTAATACAATTTGTATGTCTCCATCTTCCTGAAAAGAATGAATCCATAGTTTTCAGATTCTCAAGTGCTTTCTCTGACAACAGAGTGGGGAAATAGGGACACATTGGTAAAATGGTATGAATTTCAATTATAAAATAAATAAGGTCTGAAACTCTAATGTATGACATGGTCACCATAGTTGACAACACTATTGTATAATTGAACTTTGCTAAGAGAGAAGAACTTAAATGTCATCACCAAAAATAAATAAATAAAGAAATAAACAAATAAATAAATAAATAAGTGAGGTGATGAATGTGTTAATTAACTAGATAGGAGGAACGTTTTCATAATGTATATGGATATCAATCACCACAATGTAAACTTTAAATATCTTACAAGTTTATCTATCAATTATGTCTCAATGAAGCTGTAAAAATAAAATCATTATTTGAATGTTAAAAAATATTTTTAAAAAGATTTTCTCCCAAATCTTTGGCATTAAATAATCATCAAATTTCAACCCCCACTCCCTCCTAAGTAAAGAAGTCACTGCAAGAGATTGCTTGCTCTGTTTGTTATAGAGGTAGTCACGGAGAAAGAGCTGAAAGGGCAGAATGTTGAGGGGGAAAGAGAGCGGGGAGCAAGGAGAGAGAAGCTTCGAACTTTCTGAACAGATTTTTAAAATAAAGCGATTAATCCAAAATCTTCCTCCCTCAACTTTCTTCTCATTTTTAAAATTCCAGATTTTTAAAATTCTAAATCAACCAAAAGTGTAGTAATTATGACTATTGTTAAAGTTAATATACTGATTTTAGTTATATTTCTCTTTAACAGTACAATTAAAGTTTTCATTTCCTAAGTTTTTTAGTACACTGGAGTTTGTTGTAAACATTGTATAACGTACACTTAAGACCTTTTTTAGGACCTAGAATGTTATTTGACAAATATATTTTTAAAGGGTTTATTGTTATATTTTTGCTTCTATGATATACTGTGAAGCATTTATATGATTTATTTGGATTTTATATAAGAAATAAAGCCTCAGACATTTAAGGCAAAATGTGATTTGCTTTTAACCTGATTTTCAGGAATGCGTTGAGACAAAATGGAAATGCAAATGAAATGCAAATGAAATTAGGATGCATTGAATTGCAGGGAGGCCCCTGCTTGTAGATTCAGGGAATTCCTGAAGACCAGACTTCATGTTCTGTGCTGGGAGGAGAAATACTGGTCATCCATGAGTTGATGCTGGACGGTACAGGTGCTGGGGCTCTGTGCACCTGGGCATCAGGAGAAACAGTAAGCATGTTGGTAAGACAGGTTTTTTTGGTTTGGAGGCAAGTAAGTGTCATAGAAAAGATGATATCTCTCTGTATCAATGACTTCCTGATTTAAAAAGCTAAATTTAACTGTCATCATCAATTACCAATAACTTTGGAGGAAGACTGTTATTATTATTTTGTCATTATTTTAATAAGTTATTGTTTTTATTAATAAGTGAGAGTTTTGAAGTAAAATCTAGAACTATTGTTTTACTTCCGTAATGAATTCCCGAGTGTTATTTATCTCCATAGCAAAAGGAAGGGTCAGCTTATTGGAAGTTTCCTAACTTCTTTGCTAGGACAATGTGGGATCCTGGTTTGGGTCCTGGAACAGAAAAAGGACATCAGTGAAAAAACTGGTGAAATTTGAATAAGATCTCCATTTTAGCTAATAGTATGTGCCAATATTAATTTCCTGGTTTCAAATATTGTACTCTGATTAAGTAAGATATTAACATTAAGAGAAGCATATGAAAGGTATATGAGGAGTCTACGTAGTGTTTTTGCAACGTTTCTGTAAGTTTAAAATTATTTAAAAATAAAAAAGTTAAAAAATACAATTAAAACCATGTGAAATCCCATCACTGAAAAAATGCTAATATAACTATGACTTTTTCTGTGTGGTGTGTGTGTGTGTGTTTGTGTGTATGTGTGTGTATGTATATAACGGATATATTTGAAAAATGAGAAGAGTAACAATAATAGCATTCTTACAGGGTTGTTGTGAGGATGACATGAACCAATACATTTAAAGCACCATCTCTAGCACATGACAAGCTCTCAATAAGCGATAGTCATTGTAAAAATTGCTTACTGTTTTGTAACCCCGAACTAGGTAAATACTTAAGGACTCTGAATGTTTAATGGCTTATGTGAGATACGTGGACAGGTAAGAGATGTTTCAAGACTGCAGGAGGTAGAATCCTAGCTGCAAAATTCTAGAATTACAGACTATAGCATTAATATAATTACTGTACCTTTTGCTTAATGGGCAAGTATTGAGCTTAAAACTCTTCTGGGTTATCAGTTTAGATCTTCAATCTAACTATAAAGCCAAAATTTATTTATTTTTCCCTTTAGTAACATGAGCATTGAATTTAAACAATGATAGAATAAGATTATATGGATATAGTGTAATAAAATACCAAATATGTTTGAATCTCACCGACTTCCTTTCAGAAAGTTCAGAAACAACAAGGGATCAAAGCAGAAACAGAGGAGAGAAACTTTCTCACCACCAACAGCACTAGCTGCCAGAAGCCATGATCCAGCAGGTTTGGAAAGCCCTTGCCTAGATGTGACATGCTGAATTATCTGGCCCCGAAGGGCAGCATCTTTAAAAACTGAATAGATTTTGAGAATCTTGTCAGCATTTTTGAAAGTGAACACAGAGCCAATGTAGAACTCTGTCCAAGTACTTTTTCAAATCTTCAGGTCAACAGTGGTACACCAAAAGGAGGGAAAGCAAGACCATTTTTCCTCTGGGCAAAGACAGATATTCCATTCTGTGAGTTATAGTTATTCAGGACATTGAGAGTCACATATTTAAGCTTTTAAAAACAGCAACAATATTATATTGTTGACTTTTCTCCTTGTCATCTATCCTATCCATATTGTTTCGGCTAAAGCGTTATCAACCAGATAGGCTATGTCCTGAAGGTTAGGGGAAAACATAATAACAACTCAGTTGACAGCCAAATTGGTAGAAAAATAAGTTTCAGTGGTACCATCACGTGCTGAAAACTCTCTATCTTGAAAGACACGTTATCTCTAAAGCCCATTGGCATTTTAGGAACACGGCAGCTTATTTTACCCAACCCATTCTTCAGAGAAATGTAGATTGAGGAATTCAAATTTGATAAAGTATATTTAGCCTTTTCCATAATTAACATAAGACCATGTAGTTTTTGTCACAGTAAATTGCCTTGTGTTGTTTTCTTTTCCATTTAGTCTTTTACAGGCCGATAAATAACGTGAATAGAGAGACATTTGTATCACCAAATTTTATTTTACCTGGTGTCAAAGACCAGGAAAAATTACCCTGACCATTTGTGGTGAACTTCCCCAAGTATGGGAGCATGTTGATTCGAGCTCTGAAATACCTGTTTGATTTTACTCTATCTCCTTCTCCACTGTCCTCATCTCTTCTCCTCTGCACCTAGTGCAATGCTCAGTATAGCCTTCCTATTTTTATTCCCTTCTCTGCTCTGAGATGTCTTTTACATTTATAAGCAATTATGCCATATTCCTGAATCAAATTCTTTAATATGTCTCTATTTTCTACAGATTGAAATTTAAGCTTCTTAGATTACTTACAAGGATTTTCACAATCTGGTCTCAACCTGCCTTTCCAGTCTCACCTACCCAAATGTTTTGTATCCTGTGCTATATGACGCACATGTCATATATGCTCAGACCACCGCGACTTTGCTCTTGTTGTTCTTTCTGCCTAAATGGCTTTCTCTCTTACTTCTACAATGGTCACTTGCTGATATTATAGTCATCTTTCTCATCTCAGCTCAATTATGTTTTCTCTGATGCTCTCCCCTCTATTCTCACCCACTTTAAATTAATAACCACATTATTACTCTATTTATGCAACTATTTCAGAACATGTTTTAAAACTTCATATTTTGTTGTACAGGTAGATTATAAGTTCTTTGAGAGCAAATTTCATGTCTTATTCGTGTTGGTTCATCTCCATTTTTCTATGCTTTGGAGAAATTTAATAAATGTATCTATGAGTGAATGAATAAATAAATAATATTTCCCAGGTCTTCAGAGACTCCTCAGAGACTTAAGTAAGTTTAGGCTAAATCCGTTAGCATTGGGATAAGCCTTCTCCCACCTTACTGGCTCCACCTCTCTGCTTTTCCCCTAAAGTTTATGTTCCCAACTCTTGATCCTTCTCTTGCCTTTTCTTCAACGGGAAGTATTATCCAGTCCTTCTTATGATAATTTATTTTCTTAGGGACAGTGGCCCCACCTGGATGGTCTGCCTTCTCCTCTCTGGTAATCTGTTGGTTAAAACTTTATCATTGTATTATTAATGCAAATAATACATATTGTGCTAATAATCAAGTCATAGTTCTAAATTTCCTGTAGGATTCTCAAACATTACTTATAAGTTCCTGGGAAAGCTCATCTTATTTAGTGGCTTGTTACGGACTGAATGTTTGTGTCCCACCCAAATTTATATGTCGAAGCTCTAATGCCCAGTGTGGTTATATTTGGAGATGGGGCCTTTACAGGAGTAATCAGGGTTAAATGAGGTCATAAGGGTAGGAACCTGATCCAACAGGAATAATCTTCTTTTAAAAAGAGACACTAACATAAGAGACACCCACGCTTGCTCATTCTTTCCTTCTCTCTGCACACACATTACCAAGAAAGGCGATGTGAGAACACAGCTAGATGGTGGCCTCTATCAACCAAGAGAAGAGGCCTCCGAATAAAACCTATGTTGCTGGCATCTTGATCTTGGATTTCCAACCTCCAGAACTGTGAGAAAGTAAATTTCTATTGTTTAAGACACTCAGCCTGTGGTATTTTGTTATGACAACCTGAGCAAACTTCTACAGGGCCCACTGTTTATTCCTCAGTGTCAAGGCTGGAGATAGCTGACTAGTGAAATCTTGAACTAAATTCTGCTAATTAAAATGTATACTACAGAACTACTGAACGGTTACGGTGAAGCCTAAAGCACCTTCCTTCTCATCTAAGCTCTGCCCAAGGGGACTCAACCTCCTGCCCCAAGTTTCTCTTGTGTCACTGCTTGGTGCACGCATACTATGCTTCCTTCTCAAGTTGTTCTGCCTGGCCTCATGTCTCTGCCTAGCCTCAGCTGAGCGTTCTGGCACTGATAGTTTCTTGTTTCACAATGTTGTGTTGAACGTTTTTGCTTGTATAACCTGAGATTAGGACTGCAGAATCCCTGTTCCCACAGGTGTTTTGCCACTTTTTTTTCTCATCTTCTTTCAAGTCACAAATAAAGGCTTGATAGGAATTGGTATAATGAAGTATAAAATGGCTGACAATCTGCTGGACTGGGTTCCCAATTCTAGGCGCTGTTTGCCAAGAGGAGCTCACTATACTGAGGACACCGCAGAACCAGGCAGCGAGTGACCCCCGTGTGGATCCCTGGCTGAATGGGCACCCCCAACATGCAGGTTGCATGAAAACCTCAATATGCTGACATAGGAAGAAGCTGCCAGTGACCTGAAAACTGTGAGGTGGAAAGTCATGAGGGTAAGATGGGGAATTTGGGGAAGAGGAGGCCATGGCATAGATTGTACTCCAAGGGAGAAAGTATGAATTAGCCAATCAGACTGTGGTATTTTGTTATGACAACCTGAGCAAACTACTACAGGGCCCACTATTTATTCCTCACTGTCAAGGCTTAAGATAGCTGACTAGTGAAATTCTGAACTAAATTCCGCTAAGTAAGATGTATACTACAGAACTACTAAACTATTACAGTGAAGCTTAAAGCACCTTCCTTCTCACATAAGCCCTGCCCATGGGGACTCAACCTCCTGCCCCAGAAAGCTGCACGAGTTCACTATTCAGTAGGATACTCTGATGACCAAGAAAGGAAATGACACATTGGAGCAGGCTTAGGTGAACCAGAGATCCCTGGCTATTGGTTTTTTGGTGACTCTCCTGGTGTCATAAGTGATGGGTTGCACAAGCCCTGTCCTGGTCCCAAGAATGATGGTGTAAACCCAAAATCCCTGTGAATAATCAGTAACAGAAACCCATACTCACGTGTCTCAATTTGTGAGGGCTGCTATAATAAATTATCATGGACTGGGTGACTTAAACAACAAATCGCATTTCTTACAGTTCTGGGTAGTTAAAGGTCAAGTTTCAGGCAGATTTGGTGTCTGGTGAGGACCTGCTTCCTGGTTTGCAGAAGACTATCTCTTGCTGTGTCCTCATATTGTCAAGAGAGAGAAGAAGTAAACTCTCTTGTGTCTCCTTTTATAAGGCACTAATTCCGTCATAAGGGCTCCACTCTCATGACCTGTCATAGTTAATTTTATGTGTCAACTTGACTAGGTGAAAGAATGCTGAGATAGCTGGTAAAACGTTATTTCTGAGTCTGTCTATGAAGATGTTTCTGAAAGAGATTAGCATTTGAATTGATAAACTGAGTAAAGAAGATTGGCCTCACTAATGTGGGTAGGCATAGGGGACCTGAACAGAGCACAAAGGCAGAGAACAGGAAAATTCACTCCCACCTGAGCTAGGATATCTATCTTCTGTCCTCAGACATCAGTGCTTCTGGTTCTCAAACCTTTGGATTCAGACTTTTTAAGTAATTTTTTATTTTTCAACTACAGTTGGCATACAATATTATATTAGTTTCAGGTGTACAATGTGGTGATTAGACATTTATATAACTTTTGAAGCACTCACCCCGATAAATCTAGTACCCATCTGACACCATGCATAGTTCTTACAATATTATTGACTATATTCCTTATACTATATATCTCCATGACTATTTTGTAACTACCAATTTGTACTTCTTAATCCCTTCCCCTTTTTATCTATCCTCCCAACCGTCATTCCATCTGGCAACCCTAAACATTTTCTCTGTATCTTTGTGTTTGTTTCTATCTTGTTTGTTTGTTTTATTTTTTAGATTCCTTATATAAGTGAAATCATATGGCATTTTCTTTCTCTGACTTACTCCACTCAGCAAAATACCCTCTAGGCCTATCCCTATTGTTGCAGATGTCAAGATTTCATTCTTTTTTTTATGACTGAGTAATAGTCCATTGTATACATGTACCACCTCTTCTTTATCCATTATCTATTATTGGACACTCAGGTTGCCTCCATATCTTGACTATTGTAAATAATGCTGCAATGAACATATGGATTCACACTTTATTTTAAAGTCTATTTTGTTTGGTGTAAGTATTGTTACCCAGCTTTTTTTGTTTTTATTTTCATGAAATATCTTTTTCTATCCCTTCACTTTCAGTCTGTGTGTGTCTTTCAATCAGAAGTGAGTCTTTTATAGGCTGGACTCAGATCGAATTACACCACTGGCTCCCCTGGTTCTCCAGGCAACAGGTTATGGGACTCGGCTTCCACTATCATGTGAGTCACTTCCTATAATAAGTCAATCTCTCTCTATATATCTCTATATCTTCATCTTTATCTCTGTCTCTGTCTGTCTTTATCTCTATCTCTACCTATCTGTCTTTATTACGATTATCTCCATCTCCATCTCCGTCTCCATCTCCATCTCCATCTCCATCTCTATCCATCTATCTAGTTCTCTACGCACCTTCTATTGGTTCTGTTTCTTTGGTGAACCCTAATACATGACCTTATTACCCCCCAATACTCACACTTCTTATTACCAATTCATTGGTGGTTAGGGTTTCAACATACAAATTTGGGTCAACACAATACGTAGTCCATAATACTACATTAGGTTTTCCCAGAGAGCCACTCTGAAGAAACAGAAAGAACCAGCAATGGAGGCCACACAGGTGCGCAAATGAAACTCTGTGATGAGCAGGTGGCTGGGGGCAGCATGGTACCATGTTGCTACCACCACATGAGAAGGAGAGACGTGAAGAGGAGATGGATGTATTGTTTCAAATTCCATATAAATAAAGCCTTATTGACTATGGTATTTTGTACAAGGAACTGTAGCAGGTGAAGCACTCAGCTCCTGTTGGGTGCCCTCCCATAATTCTGGCCTGGTTCTTCTCAGAACACTTGTGAAAAAATGACAGTCTCTATAATTCCATCCATATTTCTCTCCCTTCCTTGTGCTTTTCCTCTGGAACACCCATATATGACTTCTCTCACTGCCTGCTGCATCTTTTGATCTCAGAAAAGAAAGGCTCTGATAAGGTCTGCACCTGTAAGTGGACTTAAATATGTTGGCATCTTCAGGTCTCTAACTCTTCCAACCTACTTTTATAATCCTTATGCCATGCTTTGCTGGCAAACCTCTCTCTACCCTCAAAATTCTGTTCAATCTGCCTCATCACCATGGAACTTTCTCAGGTGGATTCCATCTTGCTTTAACACACATCGGTCACTTCACAGTCTTCTCAGCACTTATGTTTAAATATAGCTTGTTTATGTTCCTAACTGTGCTTTTGCTTTTATTTTTGTTTTGCTGTTTTCTTATAAATTTCGTGGATGTTTGCCTTTCCCCTCTAACAACAGCCAACAACAGAAGTGACAATAATAAAAGCACTGTCATTTGTCGAGGTCTAACTATGTGACTGTTACACACTTTAGAAACAAACATTTTTTGTTGTTGTTGAAACACAATAATCCTCTGAGTTAAATATTTGAATTTTTTCTTTTAAAAGTAATATATTAATGAGTGAACATTGTAAGGTACTTAAAGAAACAAATCGTTTATAGTAAAACTGAAGGCGCCCCTCCCATTCTGTTTCCTATGGTTAGCGTTATAGTGGTGGAATGCATTTCCTTCCAGATTCTGTGTGTGTGACTGTGTGTACATATTTGCACACAGATGCTGGGATGCAGATTTTTAATATAAATGAAATCATAGAATAAATATAATTTTGTGATTTTCTTTTTCACTTAACAATATATCTTAGAGGAAAGAATAACTGTCTCTATGTCATAAGCAAAGAAACAGAGGTTTAGAGAGACTAAACAACTTTATCCTATTAGGTAGCAGTTTACACTGCATGACAGGTTCCTTGGAAACAGCATGATTTTTCTGTTTTATACCGAGTTCCAGTGCCTTCTACTCCAGTTTTCCCAGCTCCCTGTTCCAGAAGTTCAGTGCTTCCCTTCTACTTCCACTTTTGACGCTGGACTCTTATTTCCTTCTGTGTGCCTGAGTCTCCATAGCCTGTCTGTACCTGTAATTTGAGTTAGGCTTTAGTTTTACTATGTCTTTTCTAGGTGGTGATCCATCTGAAGGAATTCGAGCAACTTCCATCTGCTGACAGACTTCCTGACGTTGCTTGCCTGCCTATGGGATGTTCTTTGCTCCTGAATTTGCTTCTGTTATACTTTTCAGGCTTGACAGTTGATTTACTGGAGCTACCCATTCATTGTCTTCCCTGCCATCTAGTTTACTGTTATTCAGGCTGGGATCTCTCCTGGTAATGTGCAGCTGAGTCTCCTTTCCTCACGTTTCTCCTTGCCCCTATATCTCCCCTACTTCATAGGGTGGATCCCATTCCAGATCCCTGGCAGCATATGCTTAATCCTACCAAAACCCTGCCCGCTTTACCTTCAGGTGAAATGCAACTTGCTATTACTTTAGGAGAATACTAAATCCATCTTTGATACAACATGAGATTATAGTATATTCCATTAAGAACAACAAATCTACAGTCAAGTCTTTGACATAAAGTAGGGCAGATAGAGCAAACCAGTGGTTTACTTTTGTATCTCTCATTTCTTTAACATTTATAGTCTTTAGAAATTGACGATTTTTTAACTAGACGTTTGAGACATTCATGAGGCTTTTCCATATTAGTAAACAGTTTTTCTTCATTTCTCAGAAACCTGTCTTATTTCCCTCATTTCTTTGTCAGTGATAGTATGATTTCTTAGTCACCCAGAATGGAAACATGGGAGTCATTATGTATCATTTTTCTTTATCCTCCAGTGCTGCTGCCTGTGCCCTGGCCAAGGACTCTGAATTATGTCCTTGTTGATCTTCTAGACTCCAGTTTGCCCCTTCTTTCACCTCTCGCTGTCCCCATGTTGTACTATGCTTTTCTTGTAAGCATTTTTATATTATATAATTTCTTATATTCAAAACCTAGATAGGTTCCTATTGTTTACCAGAGCTGACTCAAATAGATAAGAATTGCCTGCTCTTTTCTCCCACGTGTCTGGCCTGGGCTACCATGGGTGTGCCAGAGTTGATCAGACAAATTCTAATTTCAGGGCTTCATTTGCAGGTCAAATAACTATTCCTGGGAATGAATCAGAGGTCTTGATTTCAAACTTCAATCTAGTTCCCTTAGAGAGTTGATCTTCAAGACCCTCCGTAACCTAACACCATTCAACTATCCAATCTTAGTCCCCTCTATTTCTCAATGGAAACCTTTCCATTGTCGTATAAATATGCAGTGTATCTTTCTGCTGCCAAACCTTCTACCCACCTTTGCAACACTCTTTTTTTTTCTG